GACAAGGACAGCTAGTTAAGATTAAATTTGCAGGCTATTAATGGCATATTGCATTTTCTTGAATGGCTATTCTTGGTTTCGTTATATACCTTAAAAAAAATTAATAATAATATTTATCTTAATATGTATTTATTTACATGATCTCATTATAAAAACATGGGTTCATATCCAAGCGCAACCGGTCAAGTTCTTACCGCACCAAAAACTCGTAATCGTGCCAAAATGACACTGTTGACCTCCGGAACATCTTACAGTGAGTCCATCACTCTTACAGTATGGACACTCGCCACCGCAAAGGGCACTGGCCCAAGAAAGTGTAGACCCATTGGCCAAAAATCTGTGGACTTGTGAAAGAGTAAGATTCCCTTTGTCAATATACACATCACCACTTGGCTCTTGCATCGTCACTTGCAAGTGTATAGTACAATTGTCCATTAACTTAGATGGCCACGTTGTCACCTCATCGTCAGTTAGATACCCTATGTACATGTGCTTGTCTGTATCCGACACGTTGAGACCACACTCAGCACCAACATCTACGAGTTGGGAGCTGTTGACAGGTTGTGGACAGCTAATAAAATTCATCTTCCACCTAACATAATGGATCAATCTTTCTTCGTAGAAGAAGAATGTCGTTTGGGAATAAGCATAATAATTTCCAACCATCACCTCATCAGGGATAATAGGGTAGTTTGGTAAAGAGCAGATGTGGTATTCTAATATGGAGGGATAAATTAGGCGGATAGTGTAGTGGGTATAATTGATTTGTAGCACAAGGTATTTGTGAGATTCCAAATATAAAACGGTCGTATTATCTTGGCACTCGAGTTCATAGTGGGGATCGCCACAGTTTGGTGGGTCGTTTTTCAATCTGAAAGGGTAGCTAATATTAGAAATATTGCCGCATGAAGAAGGCGGGCAATTATGAGTATTAATGGTATTCTGACCTGTGCAAGTTTGAAGCGCGATCAAGCATGAAAAAATGGTTTTTAGGAGCAAAGGGTATTCGTGTCTGAGCATGATTTAGGTGGTTTTGCAGGGCAAAACAAATAATATGAGGGCTAGCTAGCTAGCTAGACAAATGAGTGAAAAGAAAAGGAAAAAATATATATGGATGTGCTTGCATATTAGTGTTATATATTTCAGATTGACGTGTAAAATGGGAATTATGCAAATTGAAGTCAAGTCAACCAAAGAGACACCTAGGCATGTCACATCTCTACTTGCATAATTCATCCCAAACTTAATGAAACGAAACAAAGACTATTGAATCATTAGTCTCCGTCGCACTGGACCACACGTACAAGTCTGTCTATCCGTGTAAATTTTTCGGTTGCTACTTGCTAATAAATCCAAACTCAGTTTGTGGTAATGGAAAAATCTCAGTCCAATTTCAGATGTGTAAATGTCACGTTTATGATATTAACACATTGGTGTCTGCTAGGTTGACTTGAGTCTGCATGCGTAATTCACGAGCTGGACTTGCCACTAGTTTTTGGATATGGCATGGCAGCTTAATTATTCATGGAAATGAGTGTTATATCATTTTTTAAATATACAAGGAACACAAAGCCCTGTATAGCGACCATGTCATTCTTCCTCGTCTTATTTTACTTGTCTTTGTTCACTGCAGTGCTTGGATTACAAAGTGATGACTGTAAGCCCACCAGATGCAAGAAACACGGGCCTAAGATTCAGTTTCCTTTCAGGATAAAAGAGCGAAGCCCGGAATACTGTGGGTATCGAGGTTTTGAAGTGTTTTGCGACGAGACACACGAGACTATGCTTCTACTGCCATCCTCTGTACAAGTTGTAGTAAAGGACATCGACTATGTTACTCAACAAATTCATCTTTATGATCCTGAAAAATGCCTCCCCAGAAAGCTACCACAGCTAAACTTATCGTCGTCCCCATTCTTCCCAGATTACTACCACAATTATACCATGTATAATTGTTCTGCACCTTCGAAAAGCCTTTGTGGCTTCCCAATTCCTTGTCTTGATGATTCCCGATATCATCATATTTTTGTCGTTGATAGTTATGAAAATGTGGGTTATTGTTCATTGGCTTCTTGTACCCAAATACATGAATATTCCCTACAATTATACCCTGTCTCTACTTCGATGAGTGGTGAAAATTCCTTCCATCTGAACTGGTTTGAACCTGCATGTGGTGGCTGTGAAGCTAAAGGACAGAGATGCAAATTAACAAGTACTAACAGACGTCAAACTCAGTGTGTTGATATTGACAAACCCAAAAAGAAGGGTAAGCAAGTTATTTTACTGTTTCCATCTTTTTGCCATGCATGCTTTCTTCACTTGTGCCTTCGTCCATTTCCCTTCTATTCTGGATATAGACTTCAAGGTACAAGTTAGAGAAACAAATTTCTACATCCGGAAATGATATTCGGAAAATCACACCTCTCCAGAAAATCAGAAAATTGAACATGAAATGCATCCACAATAGGCAAACTGTTTATCATATGTGTAGGTTAAAAAGAAAAAGAAATTATAAAACAACTAATATATTTGCTGTTGTCTATTGTTGTTCCCAGGAGCATCAAATGGCCCACTGCTTGGAGGTGAACATTGCTCCCAGCCTGCTTTTACTCTTTCATGTTGTTATGGGATTTGTTATTTTTCTCATTTACTTCAAATCCAATTTTATTCTTGTAAATGGAGTTTTATTATCATATTGTATTAATTCAGTTAGCCTTTCATATATTTTTGACAAGCGTTTTGCTTTCTGTAGGTGCTTTAGGAGGTACTTGCCTTGTGGCAATACTCGCAGCTCTTATCCTTCTTTACATCTCAATTACATCAGACAGAGAGAACCACATCAAGATCGAGAAGTTTCTAGAAGACTATCGAGCCCTCAAGCCCACCAGATTCTCCTACTCCGACATCACAAGAATCACTCGTAAATTCAGCGAGAAACTCGGCGAAGGAGGCTACGGAACCGTTTACAAGGCCAAACTCTCCGACCAAATACACGCCGCCGTCAAACTTCTCCACCACTCAAAGGGCAACGGCGAAGAGTTTGTGAACGAGGTCAGCACAATCGGCAGAATCCACCACGTCAACATCGTCCGTCTCCTCGGTTTCTGTGCCGAGGGCTCCAAACGGGCCCTCGTCTACGAATTCCTCCCCAACGACTCCCTCGAGAAGTTCATCTTCCGCTCCTCGTCGAGAGCATCCCTCGGCTGGCCTAAGCTCCGGGACATTGCCCTCGGCATAGCCAGGGGTATCGAGTACCTGCATGTTGGCTGCGACCACCAAATCTTACATTTCGACATAAAGCCGCACAACATATTGCTCGACAGGAACTTCGGGCCCAAGATATGCGATTTTGGGCTTGCAAAGCTCTGCTCCAAGGAGCAGAGTGGAGTGACGATGACGGCTGCTCGGGGGACCATGGGCTACATTGCTCCCGAGGTGCTGTCGAGGACTTTTGGGAGGGCTTCGTATAAGTCGGATGTGTACAGCTTCGGGATGATGGTGCTGGAGATGGTCGGGGGAAGGAAGAATATGGACCCGAACGTGGACACGAGCCAAGTGTATTTTCCTCAATGGGTTTACAATCGTTTGGATTCGGATTTTGGGGAGGATTTCTGGGCTCGGGTGGAGGAAGGGGAGGATGGGAATGTGGCGAGGAGGCTGACTATTGTGGGGCTGTGGTGCGTACAGTGGAGTCCGAACGATCGTCCGTCGATGAAAGAGGTTGTTGCAATGTTGGAAGGAAGTGAGGAGAGTCTCGTGATTCCTCCGAACCCGTTTGCTGATAACGATGCTAGAAACTCGGTTGGGCGCATGATTCCGGGAAGGCGGCAGCAGCATCATCGGATAGAGTTGGCCGCCGTGCAAGAAACAGAGTATTTTAGTGCCTAAACTATGAAGTTTTGGCAACTCGGTTTTCGGGTCGTGCCAAGTTTACTACTGTATGTTTTTTTTAGTCCTTGCGATATGCGCGAGTAAATAATTATATAAGTAATAATTAATTAATTATAAATTGAAAGATGAAGATGTTTCGTTCTTCGCGTTTACTGGAGATGATGTTCAATTTGTCACATCAAATTTTGAATACAAATTGTTTCATGTTTATCCAAGTGGATAAAAGTCTATGATAAATGCATTAAATTACGGATTTAATTAATTAAATTGATATTTTTATAAATGAAAAATATTTTTTAAAATTAAATAAAATTATTTTTTATTAAACAATATTTTTTAAATTAAATTAAAATTAAATTAATATATATAGATTAAATAATCTATTAATATATAATAATGATTAACATAATTCACTTTTAGAAATACTTTTCCGCCAATTTCATTAATTATTGCCTAAATATAGTAAATTAACAAAATCTCTATTTATTAGCATATCTTTTTTATCTAATTTTATTTAGGAATACAATCAAAAATATGGAATCAAAATCAAAATAAATCTAAGAAATACACTTACCAAAACTTAATACACTTACCAAAACTTAATACACTTTGCCGCCCTTGTGGTCCTACCCGGCTCGATTCTGGATTAGTCGGTTCCCCTGTGGATCCGGAAACCGGAAGGTCCCTGTACCAAAAAATAAAAAATAAAATAAAATACAATATAAAACATTTAATTAATAATTGTCAATTAAAGATTCTTTTTAAGAATCAATCATATTTCTAATAATTGTTAGAAATAATTTTAATATATATATATATTTGTATTTACGTGAAACTAACATATATGTTACTTATATGTTAACATATATATTAACATATATGTTAATCCTATATAATAAGGATTAACTTAAATCAAATTTAGAAACAATTTTCCAGCAATTATTTCCTAAAAATAGTAAATCAGATTTTTTCGTTTTTTTTATTAATAACATCAAAGACTTTTATATTGGTAAGCAATAAGCAATCAAAATCCGAATAAATCTCCTATTTTTTCAAACAATTTGGAAATCCGAATAAATCTCCAAGGAAAATCATGATTTGTATGTATCATGATTTTAGAAATCTGTTCAAAATTTTCTTTGCATGAATCTGAATCATAATTCATTCAGCCTATTATTATATTATTAAATTATTTGAAACCGCATGCTAAGATTTATATATATCATATTTCTAAAATCATGATTTGCATATATCAACTTTTCATCAATTAGACTTTTTCTTCATTATCGATTTGAAAAGGAAAACGAATTTTATATACCTTATCGGTTTTGATAAAACAATGTTATAATCATTATCATTATTTATTTTAACAAGATAGTGTTTGTCATTTATTTGATTTCAAAAGATGAAAAAAAAATCATAGTTTAGGTCTCTTTTTATTTATGCATTTACACAAATTAATTTAAAAACTCTAATAACGATTGACAACAAAATTTGTTATATATTGATTCAAACCAACTAATTAATAAAAGAGTCCATTAATCACGAAATTAAAAAATAACACACGATCACTACATTTCAAAGAACAAGTTTTTTAGATAAATATTCATTTATATTGTCATGACGATAAACAAGAGTGAGTGTCAATCTTAGAAATTTGATGATTTCACCTGCTATATTTCCAATGGTTTTTTTACCGTAGGAATTTTCGTTGGAATATGCAAACTTCGTTGGAATTTTTATTTCCACCCCGTTGAAAATCCACCGTTGGAATCGTCAAAATTCAACGAAATTCCAATGGAAAAATATCATTCCAACGGAATATTTTTGTTGGAATTTCCGTTGGAATCCATTGTAAATTTCCAACGAAAATAATAGTATTGAAATATCCGTTGGAATTGTCGTTGGAATAATTTTTTTTGGAATAGATTTTCATTAGAATTTTATCATTTTATTGTAGTGTGCCCAATAATCTAACTAATAATATTGTTTACAATTAGGTTTTAATAACATATAATTTTCTCATACCCGAACATTTTATGAGCATTTTGCGCTCAAAACATTAATTACATACTATAGATAGAAATAATATAAAATGATCTAAATAAAAAATAAATCATTAATTGAATAATTTTCATATAACTCGATTTTCGGTTTGTGTTTGTTTTAGTAAATTTTTGGTTTTCTTTAATTACGCTGATAGTGGTTTTGTAGGCAAGATTATGTAAATAATTATATGTAGCCGATTTTGGAATTCTTATTTATCAAGGATTCTTTTTTTATTTTAACAGATTTATTAGAATCATTGATTTGGATTAGCATATATGTTACATACACACACAAAAAAAAAATATATAATAATATTTAAATTTACATGGCGTCAATTTTGTAATTCTCATTTGTGAGGATTCTTTTTTATTTTATCATATTTATTAGAACCAACAATTACAAAATATAAATTTATATTAATATCTAAATATATTCATATAAATATTTAAATATATTTTTCATTGTAGCAGATTTTGAGAATGAACGATTTTATATGAGATATATACAAATCTTTTTTTTAGATATATACCAATTTCCTTTATTGGTTCTTTTTGTCAATTGTTTTTAACAGAAAAATTTTTAAAATTTTTGTATAGTAAATTGATTTTTTGTTTTTGTATACACAATATATATATATATATATATATATATATATATATACCTAAAAAGTTGTCACACATATAATAGGAAAACTGTCCAATTAAAAATTGTTCAGTTTGAAAATATATAACAAGTTGTCACACATTCAATTAAAAATTGTTCGGCTTGAAAAAATTAGCCTGAAGTAATGTCTAATCACTAATGTTTTATATTTTATACCTACTATATATAATCTCTCTCATAAAATTAGTATGATGTAATATTTAATGTTTTGTATTATTCATACATATTTTTGTAGATGTACACCAATTCATTTGTCCAACTGTTGTATAAATTATCATATTATAAATAGATCCATGTTAGACTTCCATTTAATTTCCAGCGGCACCAGTTCCTTCTGATTTTGGGGTTCCATTTAACAGTCATGGTCAATCTTTTTGTATAAAAAATATAAAAATATTAGTGAATATTATATAGCTAAGCAAGTATAATCGATATTAAACTAATAGTTCATTGTCTGACTGCCTAAGTAAATTATCATATTATAAAAAGATCTATCTTAGGATTTCATTTAAGTTCTAGAGCACCAGTTATTTCTAATCTTAGGGTTTCATTTAAGATCAGAGTCAGTCTTTATGTGCGTTGTCATATTATTAAAGAAATCGATTCTTAGCAACGACCGATTATATGTTGTTGTTTTTACGTGTAAGTAATAGATAAGAGATGTGCATTGGCATGTTCTTAAAAAAATCTTTTTTTGATCACGACCAATTGTATGTTGTTACGCGTGTAAGTAATAGGTCAAGAAGAGTCAAGGTCAACATTTATTGTACGTTGGCATGTTCTTAAAGAAATCGATTTTTAGTCACGGACAATCATGTTGTTTGTTTCACGTGTAAATAATAGAAAAGTGTTGAAAATATTAGTTTGTGGGGATGGCGAGTTGCTCAGTTATTGAACAAATAATGTTGTGTACAAGAGAGTTTAAATAATATATTTTTTTTGCATGAGGAACATTTTATGTTTTGATAATTTTCCTACGAATTATCACTCTTTTATTTATTAATACATTTTAAGTTTTAATATTCTCTAAAGTAAATACAGTCTGTGCATCGCACGGGTTACATACTAGTATTAATTTAAATTAAATAAAATTATATTAGATTAAATACAATTATTTAAATTAATATTTTATAAATTAGATAATACTAGTTTATTATATTAATTAAAATTATTTTAAATTAAATAATGGCCGGAATTTTTTATCCCGCCAACAAGGATACACGCGTGTTCCAATTCATGCCACGTCATTTGTATCCTTATCCCAATCATATTTAGTAAACGAGAGATAAAATTGGTTAACCAACCTCATCTCATCCTATCAAAGCTAGTAAACGAGGCCTTAATATGATCATTGGATCTTTTAGTTTGATATGAACCCCCTAACGTGGCAATTTTTCATTGGAGTTTGTTTTGGAGAAATGGTTCGAATTTAGCATTTTCCAATAAATATAAATTACAATGTGAGTAAATAATATTAAATAATAATTATAAATTAAAATTAAATACATGGGGTTACATGTGATATAATTTACGCATATAGTTTATTGTAAAAAAAGAAAAAATAAAGTATACATGTATAAAATATTAAAATTAAGAGAAGATTTACATAATATACTTAAAATAAATATCGAAATAAGTCACTCATGACTCATGTGAAAATATTACGACTGTAATAATTTTTTTAATTAATATTTCTTTTTAAATAAAACCGTTTGGGAAAACTAACATCAAGGGTCCATAGCTCAGTGGTAGAGCAATTGACTGCAGATCAATAGGTCACCGGTTCGAACCCGGTTGGGCCCTTTTTTTTTGCATTTTTTGTCACTTTTTGAAAGAACTGTAGTACTGGTACACAACAAGTTTTGCATGAATATGATGAATTCATCATATTTTTTAGAAGAGAGTTTGTAAATCTGTATGAGCACAATTATGCATTATCTATCCATCCATCTCTATTTTTGTTTAACAATTAACCAAAACAGCTAAAACACGATTCAAATAACTCTAAAATTGCTATCATCTCTGTATTATAAATTCTTGTGTGTAACAATTTAATTGTTAGGCGAGTCGATCGTCAAACTATATCAATAAAGTTAGTAAAATACATACATAAACCTATTAAAGTCGTAATTCCGATTATATGGTCTTTTTTAAGGTATAGCGTTTTCTTATGAAAGTATGCATATTTATATAAAAAAAAAATAAAAAAATGTTTGTCTAATAAGTTAGGCCGAACTAACAGAATACATAATAAATATAATGGAATAGGCTAAATTGTACTGTTA